CCTTCCTGGTGTCACATGGGCCCCTGGGGTGGGGATGGGGTGCCTACAGGGTGCCTCCCCCACTCCCCAGCAGCATTGAGGGCCTGCTGGGTGCTACTCAAAGCCTCAGCCCCCTCTGGCTGGGCAGGGGCGGTGGGCCATGTAGCTGGGCCCTCAGGCCACTGGGGCTCGTGGGCCCTCAATGACCGCTACACACAGGTTTCCCCACTCCCAGGACTGGCGGCCCCTGCCTGCTCTGCTCCCCACACTGCTCTGAGCACATCTGAGCCGCTGGGCAGGGGGCTCCATCAGCTCTCGACCCCATCCCCAGTGGCTGCCCAGTAGGGCACCCTCCTGCGGTGGCCTCCTCCCACGAGGACCCCCACCTGCGCAGCACAGCACCGCGGGCTTCCCTCCCCTCACTGCGCCTCTTGCCTCTCGGAGGACATGTCGACCTGGCTCCCGGCCTCTCCCTCTCCATTTCCCACCTTCTGGAAGGGGCCCCCTCACTGCAGGTGGCTTTCCTCACTCCTCCCTGGGTTCTCCTGCCCCCCTCTTCTCAGCCGGCCTCCGCACCCCAGGCTTTCACATGTCTGCCCACCAGCTGCTGCCTGGGCCCCGAGCTCTCAGCCCCACAGGCCAGCTGCTCCAGCCTCCCTGCCGTGTGTCCTGGGACAGGTCAGGTTAACACGGGTGCCAGGTGCCCCGGACTTCTTAGGGCTGACCCAGGAAGTGGGAGGAGGGGGGGAGGCCGAGGGGGAGGCCCAGTGAGGCCCCATGATGTGGGGGGAGGGGAGCCGGAAGCGGGAGGCCTACCCCGGCACCTGGCCTCTCCTGTTTGAGTCCCTGAGTCTACAGGAGGGTCAGCGCCTCCTGCTCAGCACACCTGGACTGCATTGCCTGCCTGGCTGCACGGAACTGGAGAAGGATGAAGGTTGGGGTTCAGGCCCACCAGGGACAGGCTCCACCACCTCTGAGCCAAGGTCAAGTCACTGCCTTCTGGTGGGCGGGGTGGGGGGCAGACGTGGTATGCAGGCAGCAGCTTTCCTCTTGCTAAGGTGGAACCTAGGTGTAAAGCGGGCGGCCAGGGCACCTGGGAGGGCCCTGGGCCTGGCCCGCTTCCTTGGCCACAGGGAAGGGATCCCAGAGTTCCATCACTCTTCTGCACCCCCACACGCACCCCCACCCACACCCCAGCAGCCAGGGGAGGCAGGACAGCTACAGCTCTGGGGTGGACAGGCCCAGTTGCCATTCCAGCGCTGTCCCAGCCTGCTGTGTGGTCTTGGAAAAGTCACTACATCTCTTTGAGCTCTGGTGTCCACATCCATGAAATGGGCTCAGGACAGCAATCCCTCTGGGATTGTGCTGAGGACAGGAGACCTTGTTCTGACACATGGCGTCACCCATGGGGGCTGACTTGCCACTGTTTACACCGAGGCTTCTGGCCCAGGAGAGATCATCCCCTTCCACAGCCTCCCCTGCCCCTGCCAGTGGAGAGGTGCTGGCCGGCTTGGCGGTTCACAGCTCACAGCAGCCACTACCGCCTGCGGCCACACGGTGTCGCTGTCGGGAAGTACACAGTCCGATGGCGGGGCACCCAGATGGCTGTGGCCCACGCCTCCCTCTGGCTGACTGGGACGTGGGGACTGTGAGGGATGACAGCAGAGCCGGGCCCAGGCACAGAACTAGGAGGGGCACACCTTTTGGAGCAGCAGGGTGGCTGGAAGGTGGCTGTGCTTGCAGGTGGGGTCCAGGCCGACCCCCTCGGGTCCTTCCATAAAACAGATTACACAACGTATTTTATGCTTGGGTGGGATAAAGACGAATATAATCCAGGCTGGATTCATTATTTCAGACGTCATGTATTACGTACTATTTGTTACTGTATGATTCACTGTATATAGTATGTTACATATATATTCATCACTACCTATATTCAATATTGTGTTCAAATGGATTTTCAAAGGAATTGAAATGGAAGAGCTTATGGGCCCCTGACCATATTGGGGCCTCGGCCTTGTGCCCACCGTGCTGAGGGACAGGCCAGCCCTGTCACATGACCCCGAGAGTCAGGGCCCCTGAGATACTGGCCTTTGCCACCTCACCCTAGTCCTGGCTCTGGGTAACAGCCCTGTCCCTTGGCGTCACGTGGCCCCTGGTTCAGCTCTTGGGCTGTAGAGTCTAAATGCTGGACTGGCTTGGCCATCCCTCCTGAGGGGTCCAAGGTCAGAGGTGGCCCTGTGAGCCTTAGGGCCTTTGGGCCTCTCAAACGGCCCACTCTGGACACCCAAGAAGCCTTTCGAGTCTCTAATGAGTCACCTCCCAGGAGGGACAGGGACATGTAGGCCTCTCTCCCGCAGACACAGTGTGCCTTGGCTGGAAGGTGTCCTCTAAGGCCAGGCTCCTGCATGCCTTGGGACACAGGGGCCACCTCCAAGGTCCTGGCCCCTCCCTGGCTCTCCCCCGCGGAGGTGAGCTGAGCCTTTACGCACCCACATCCCTGACAGCAGTCCCCTGCATGGAGAGCTGTCTGGAGGAGCTGTCTCCTCGGGTGGGGGAGGGGGGGGCCCAGCCTGTGCTCCACCAGGCTCAAGAGCCACTCCCTACCTGGCAGTAGGTGGTGCCAGGCGCCCAGCTGTGGATCAGGGCTCAGGTCCGGTCCACCGGTCCACCGGCTCCCCGGCCTTTCTCACGTTTCCATCCTGAGCCCCACCCAGAGCTAAGCTCTCACAGCACCCTACAAAATGGGATGGGGAAATTGAGGCTTGGTGAGTGCAGCAACTGCCCTTGACTTTTGCCCTAGAAGCTGGGGCCCTTCCCACCACCCCATGGGGCCTCCCAGAGCTGAGTGAGGGGCAAAAACCAGCAGTTTTGCCCATACTGACTTCTCTGTCCAGTTTCTTTCAGGAGTAAACTGCTTCTACATGTTGCTGATGACCATATGGTGGGTAGCCCCTGCCCCCTACGCCCCTGAGGCCCACTCTTGAGCGGGTTCCAACACCCCCATCTCTAGAGGTGGCCAGTTGGCAGAGGAGAGGCTGGAAGTTGGTTGGCTGGAAAGCAGTGAGAGACATAGGGTTCGCCAGGTGTCACCTCCTCCAGGAAGCCGCCTCTGACTGCAGGGCTGGGTCCAGGGCTCCTCAAAGCTCTCCCAGCCCTGGGCTATCCGTGCTATGGTGCTAACCACAATCAATAGGTGGCTGCTGTGTGTCCCTGGCTGCTCCCCACCAGGCCATGAGCTCTGTAGGGCAGGACCTGCTCTGACTGCAAGGCCGGGCACAGAGGAGGTGCCAGGAGGAAAGGTTGGACCCACTCCTCAGGGTGTTCGCAGTCACAGTCGGCTCAGACAGACATGAGGTCAAAGGCAGTGCCTGAGCTGTGATCTGAGGACGGGGCTGTGTGTCAGCCATGACAAGTAGGAAGGGGCAGGAAAGGGTCCAGGTGAGCGTGTGCACAGGTGTGATGGCAGGACTACCAGCACAGGGGCGCCGGGTGCCCAGGAGGGCAGAGGGGCTGCTCCCACAGGCTCTGAGGCCTGGTGGTAAGCTGGGATGGAGAGAGGCGAGGGATGGACATGTTCAGGAGACAGACGTGGACAGGCTGCAGCTGACCACAGGGTGAGGAAGGGGAGATGGACAGTGCCCAAGTTCGTCCCCCACCCTGGCCCCAGAGGACAAGTGAGGTGATCGGAGCTCCACTGGGACAGCCTCTCCGCTGTGTCTCCAGCTGCAAACTCCTATACAGCCATCGAGACCCAGCTCAGATGGCCCTTGATTTGGAAAGCTGTCCCTGCCTCTTGGGGCCCTGCTCTGGACTCCCAGAGCCCCTGAGCACCGTGTAGCAGCAACACCCCAAAGGCAAGTAGGCCAATGGTGAGAATAGGTATGGATGTGTGGGCGAGGGGCTGGCGAGGCCTACAGAACCTGCTGGGCAGGCAGCCAGGAGGCTCAGGATGGGGGCTGGGGCCAAGACGGTGGCTTGGGGACGTTCACCATGGTGGGAGGGGCCCGAGCGCTGGGAGGAGGTCCCAGACAAGGCCTCAGGCTCCTGTGCACGTGGCCAAGAGGTGCCCAGCTCAGCTGGCCCCTCCTCGTGGGGCCCCTCCAGACCCCTGGCTGGGTGAGGGGCCTCCTTTGGTCCCCTGTTCCAGATCATTGTTTGAGGGCTGTTTGTGTCTCCTGATCTCCTGTCAGGCTGGGAGCACTTAGGGACTGCGGTAGTCCAGTTCTGTGTGTCCACGAGGTTGGCAAGCGCCAGCCTGCAGTTGTCTTTTGCAGGGGGCAGTGGGGTGACTTGGTGGGTTGGCCCATCTGGGGAAGGTGGTACCTTATCAGGGTCTGTGCCAGGCACCATGGGCATGGGGGCAGGGTACAGACCCGAGGGGTGCTCCCGGGTGCTGGGTCAGGCATGGATGGGTTCTTTTAACACCACGCTGAGATCATGGGGCCAGACCCATTGCAGTCGCCACCATGAGGGCCCAAGGTCTCCAGGAGAAACGTGGGTGAACATCTGGATGACAGTCGGCCCAAGGATGGACACCCAAAGTAAGGGCCACCCCGAATTGGAGGGGACGATGCACGGGAACACGGCGACTTCTGGTCTCTGGGATGGCCTCGGGGGCCAGGCCCCGGGTCACGCTAGGAGCTGCTGACTGGGGCCCATGTCACCTGCAAGGGGGCTGCCCCATGGGGGCCTCTCCACCAGGCTGGGGGCTAAGTGATGCCTCTGGGGCCTGGGGTCCCTGGCCCTGTGCTCAAAGGGGGCATGAGTGGGGCGGAGGGTGAGCTGGGGTCCAGGGTCCAAGACTGAACCCCCTGAAGGGCTTGAAGGCTGTTGGGATGGGTGGGCCAGGAGCGAAACGGGCAAGCCTGGTGACCCCCAATAGCCTGGACATGGCTCCCTGGTCAGGCCACACACACGTCCCCTCCCCCGGCAGATGCGCCCCCAGCGCTGATAACAAGTGCAAGCCCTCCATCCCAGCCCCTGGGCTTCTAGAATGAACAGGGCCAATTCCAGATTCTCGTCAGAACAGCTTTTATTGAGATCGAGTACGCGCTGCAGCCCCCCATCTGCGAGCGTGGGTCAGGCCCTCCTGTGGGGACGTGTCGCTGGGCTCCTCAGGGAAGGCAGTAGGTTGTATAGTTATCTTCTGAGGGGGCGACATCACTGCCCTGAAACCACACAACCTACTACCTCACCCCGTCGGCGCCCCGGGTGTGGAAGGGCCTGCCGTCCACGCCGCTGCCCCACGCCAGCCCCGGCCCCTGCCCAGTGGGCCATGGCCGCCAGAACTGCGCAGGGGGGCTGGGCAGGCGCAGGGCAGGACGGACGTGCAGGCAGAGCCTCGGTTTCCCCATGGACAGTGCAGCCCACACCATCTACCGGCCGCTGGCCGGGGGGCGGGGGCAGGGGAGAGGCGAGCTTGTGCCCGAGGACCGTGGTGTGCTCAGAAGATGCCCCTCTCATCCTGTTTGGGAAAGGCCAGCAACCAGGAAGGGAGCCTTGACTTCCCTCTGTCCTGGGCGGGCAGAGGTGCCGCCACTGACCGGAGGCCTGATGCTGGGCTGGGCAGGCTGGGGCAGACGTCGGGGGGTGTGCTGACCAAGGCAGGCCCCCTGGGTCTCCCTGGGGTGCTGCCCTGCAACCCCAGCCAAGTCTCTGCTGCCCCCTTCCTCCTCCTGGTGCCCAGTGCTGGCCACAGTGGTGCAAATCAGGGCATACTAGACTTGGGGCCGCCCTGGGCCTGACGTGGGGCAGGGAGCGGGGACAGGCTGCACAAACTGTCCCGTGGGTTCACCGGCTCTCAGTGCAGGGTCGGGAGAAGGAAGGTGAACTCTGAGCCTTAGCCTGCTCTGGACACTTGCCCAGTATCGCCTTTAATCCTCATTTGCCCCCATTTTATAGGTGAGGAAACTGAGTCCCAGAGAGGTCCGGGGACCTGCCCCAGGTGACACAGCAAGTGGAACCTAGGCCTTTCAGACTTACCACATGGCAGCCACTGTGCCCCACCCCGTGCCCCTCCCCAGCCAGGGTCCTGGATGCTGTCCACCGTCGCTATTACAGCCACTTCAGGAAAGACAGTAGATTGTATAGTTATCCCATAGCAGGGCAGAGCCCCAAACTATACAACCTACTACCTCACCCCAAAGGGCCGTCAGTCTTGGCACCAAGATGCACTCGCAGCCTCGGAGGCACCTCCTGGAGGGGGAGGAGGAGAGCTATGGGGCGTGGGCTGGGGGCCAGGCACACGGGTGCTGAGGGCACCTGGATTCTGGCCCCACAGTAGAGGAGGCCCCAGGAGAAAACCACCAACCAGAGGGAAAAAGGGAGGCGGGCAGAAGGGAGGGGAGACAGGAGACAACGTGCAGTGTGGCTTTTGGGACACTGATTCAGGCGACTGGACCACTCCCATCTGGACAGGAGTGGCCATAATTGCCCCATGGGACTTCTGCACTGGTGACACTGGGAGGAAGGCTGTCCCTCGCTGGAGGCCAATGTATCACAAAGGCACGGTGAGTGTGCACCTGGCCGCCTGCACCATCTGGCAGCACAGCCCACCCGGCGCCCTGCTGCCCCAACGTACCTGTGGCCTCAGGCCTGGTCCCTCCACCCACGGGACAGGCAGGCCTCCCACCCCACGAGCTCTGGTTGGTCTGAGCCCGCCATCCAGGGTGACCTAGCTGTCCCTACTTTGGGAAAGGCCCCAGGATATTGTTTTCCTTCCCAAAGGGAACCTGGCTCCCCAGGGGCAGCTGGGCCAGAACTACAGACCCTCGAGGGACACAGAGCGCAGTGCCCGTCCCTGAGGCAGGCTCACACCTCCGAGGGCACTGCTACCACCATGGCCACCACCTTCCTGGAGAAGCCTGGGGAAAAGCTAGGGAGGCGAGGACCACTGCCAACCTACCTTCAAGACGAGGAGGCTAATGCCCAAGGGTAGCACAACCTTCACAGGGTCACACAGCTGATGGGTGGCCGAGCAGAGGTTAGAACATTCCACTTTCTTCCTAGGGAAATGATGCCAGAGCTCTGAGCTCTCTTGATACCCCAAGCCTCTTCCGTGCCCCTTCCTAGCAGGCCGCCCCCTCCAGGCAGGCACCGGGCTGGCCTGTGCCATTTCATCCGCACAGGCCCGGTGAAGCTCAGATCACTGATTCCATTTTGCAGTGAGAAAACAGGCTCAGACTGGTGGGGTCCCTGGCCCCATGTAGGGATGGGGGGTAACGGTGACTCTGGGGCTCCCCCAGGCTTGGCCTCGCCCACTGCCACAGAAGGAAGTCTCGTGCCCAGTCCCAACAAGCAGGGCAGCTGCTGCTGCCTGAATGACCCCTGAGTGCCAGGCGCTGTGCCCTCTTCCCCCCGAGGGGCAGAAAGTCAGTCCGGGGACCCTTAGCCAGCAACCAGCGTGTCAGGGCCCATGCCTGGCACTGTCCACTCAGAGCAGTAAACTGAGGTGTAGTCACCTGGGGGACAGGAGTGCTCCAAAGCAGCCCAGCCCCCTGCCCAGGACCTGGCTGGCCTGTGCTCAAGGGCACCCCGTGTTCCCTCCAGACCCCAGAAGGAAATGTGCACGGGGGGGGGGTCCCGGGGTCCTGTCTGCCTGCCTCCATCTGGACTGCTCGCCTGGCACACAGGACTCCTCAGGCAAAGCCAGCCAGGCTCCAGGGCGGGGGCTGCGGGGAGAGTGGCCAGGGTCTTCCTCTGACCCTCCACAATGGTGAATGGTCCCAGCAGGAAGGTTCTGGCTCGTTTGTTGAGGGCGTCCAGCACTGCCCAGCTGCCCTGGGGATGACTGGCTGCTGTGAGCCTCATCATCAGGGAGGAAACTGGGGCCAAGGACCCAGCCCAGGGCTCACCCCAAAGTCTCAGAGCGACTCCAGGGGGCACCTTGAATGCACCCTCTGGGCTCCTGACTTAGTTTCCGAGACCCCAAGGCCCTCAGTCTACAGGGAGCACCTGGTTCTGACCGCTGGCCCTGGCAGGCTGAGGGTGGCATGGGACAGGCCAGCCCAGCAGGTGGAGCTGGCTGTGGCGCCAGGCTCGTGTCCTCACTGCACTTCTCTGGGCACGCCTCATCTCCTCACGGGCCTGATTTCGCCCCTGAGATGTGGGGGGGACGCAGCCACCCCAGGGCATCGGAGCAGCAGTCAGGCCATCCCGCCCAGCCGCCACCCTGTGCTTGCACCAGCTGCGCTCCCCTGGGACCGGCTTCAACCCCAGGAGGACCCAGGACGCAGCTGGGAGCCACTGACTGCACAGCGGGCCGCTCCCCGGGTTGGGCTCCATGGGGTGAAGAGCCGGGGAGACAGAGACACACCCCCTGGTCCACCCTGGCCATCTCCACAAGGCCCCTCCCCAGGCGCCCAGCCCGGCCTAGGAGAAACAGATGTGACAGCTCCCCTCGTTTGGCTTTTCTTCTTGTTCCAAGCCAGACTCACCCGTGTGGCATCTCGGGTCGGTGGCAGGCGGCCTGCGTGTATCACAGAGGCACGCGAGGGCTCCCTCAGGCACACCTGCCTGAGCGCCAGGATGGAGGAGGAGGGGCCGAGCGCTCCCACTCTGTAAGGAACCTTCAGGGACCAGCAGGTCGAAGGTTACGTCACAGGTGCACCGTGCGTAAATGAGCTGTGTCAGCTGGGGACAGGTGCTAGAGAGAGGCAGGAGGACCAGGAGAGACACAGCTTCAGCTGGAGGACACAGCTCGGGCCAAGGTTTGGAAGTGGGGCCATCAGGTCCCATCTATGGACGTCCATGCCTGACGGCTGGGCCTGGAGCGGAAGCGACACAGCTCTGACCACCTCCCCCGCCTCCCCCCATCATAAGGCAGAAGGTCTTCCATGGCTCCCCACTTCCCAGAGCAAGGCTGGTAGGAGGGGTGAGCAGTGGTGCCAGCTGTCACCCATGCCATCCTGTGAGTCAGCTGGGCATTCAGCAGGAGTGGGTGTGCCCCCACAATGGGACCAGGGATAGGAGACCAGCCAGCCTGTCTCCTGCAGGGTGACTGAGGCCATGGACTCCTGTGGGCTCAGGCTGGGCTGGGAAGTGTGGCAGGTGGTGAGGTGCCCAGCTCACCGTGACGAGGGCCAGCCTTGGACAGGAACTTCCATCTTAGCGCTGCTTCCCGACCTGTTTGGGTTTCAGAAAAAAGTGAAAAACATCAGGCTTGCAAGAGACCAGCCACGCGAGCGCTCTGCTCTGTGCTTCCTCCCTGTACCTGCCCTGCCACCTCCCACGGGTCCTGCATTTCAGCCCAGCCTGTCTTACCAAGGCCTGGCGTCTGGGCACACACCCCATCCAAGGGCCTAGGGAACGGCCTCTGTGGCCACCCTGCGCTGGACGATGCCAAGTCAGAGATGACCAAGACCCAGGCCTGGTCCTTGAATGGGCAGGGCCGCCAACATTTCCATGCTGGTGCCAGCGCCACGCCGGGCTTGTGCCGACGCTCTGGGGCCCGGAGAATCCAGGCGCTGCCCTCCTGTACGCCTGGCAGTGAGAGTGACCTGAGGGGAGGAGCTGAAACCCCACTTCACAGAGAGAGCTCCAGAGAGGCTGAGCGTCCTGGTCCCATGGTGACTGAGGCCCGGGTCCTCCCAAGGACAGAAACCCAGGGAAGGGGCTCTGGGACCGGCCACGGCCTCAGTCGAGCTTGGTCCATCGACTGCAGTCCCATCAGTTCCGGCCCATTTCTCCTGGGATGACACGAGGGGAAGCCAGCAAGGCCAGTCCCCGAGGGAAGGGACATCGGTGTGAGACAAGGACAGAGCCAGAGTGCTGACCAGCTGGAGGGCCCCTGAGGCTGGGTCCCAGACGATAGAATTGGGAGCCAGACCACTTGGGTCTGTCCAGTCCTGACTGGCGCCAACCACTGCGCCCCCACCTGGCCCTGGCTCCCCACTTCAGCCTCCCAGAGCGGAAAACACCCCAGGCAGCTTCCCTGACAGTCCTCGGCCTCACCGGGTGTGCCAGCCCTGCCCGCCTCCAGGCCTCTGCCCTGCCTGTCCTGTCGGGAGCACCTGCCCACAGGTTCCTGTTCTTCACCCACGAGAGTTCCACCCCCACAGGTGTCCCTCTCTGCTGCCCACCAGGGGCCTTGGGGGCCCCAAGGCGAATCCCAGCTCTGCCCAGCTTGGGGATCAGCCTGGAACTCCCAGGCCGGTAGCAAGTGGTGTGGCTGGTACGAGCGGCGCCCGTGACAGTGGTGGCAGTCCTCTCTCCACGGAGGACCTGGGGCGGCCCCTGCCCACTCACAGCCCACTTCCGGTCTCCCCAGGTAACCAGGAAGCAGATACCGTGACCCCCAGCAGGACCCCTACTCGGGCTTCGCTCCCACCAAGGGAGGGCTTGCACAGAACGCAGCACTCTCTTTAGCCAAAAACCTGGGGTTTGGGGTGGGGGGAGTAGGATTGACATTTCTGTGTCTGTGACTAGTTCATGGGGGAAAAGGCCCCAATTCTGTGTCAGGGGGACGACCTGCTGGGCCCACCTGCCCTATAGTCCTAGGAGTGACCAAGGGCCTCAGGCCTCGGGGAGGGCAGCAGAGACCTCCCCTTTTCTGGGGGGATGGCAGGGGTCCTGAGACAGATAAAAGGGACCGCCCAGCCAGCCTGGAGGCGAGCTGGTGGCAGGGTCAGGCATGCAACATGACGGGCCCCCAGCAGTGCTGCCAGGAGTGAGCAGTCAGCAGTCGCCCTGCCATCTGCCAGCTGCCACTGCCGGTCCTGCCCTGGTCCCGCAGTGTCTGCCCACAGGGCACTGGGCAGGCCAGGGTGGGAGGAGCCAGTCCCGAGGGGACAGGTGTACGGGAAGGAGGCCTTGATGGGCAGGTGGCCCTTTCAGAGCCAGGCGGATGTCTGGAGCGAACGAAGCAGGCAGACGGTGTCACCCCGAAGTCACCTCGGGCTTGGCTTGGGGCCACCTGGAGCTGGAGCCCCCCCACAGCTGCCCCCCCCATTGCCCCGATTAGGTTTCTCCCCATAAAGCAGCCAGTGTTTCTGCTCAGCAAGCCGTGCCAACAATGGAGTCTGGGAAAAACGTGGGGGTTGGCATCCGGGGGGCGGGTCTCCCCACAAACACGGCTGCGAAGTTAACAAGATGTGCACACTGGACAGCGTGTGATCGACGGGCCAGGACAGGGCGGTGCTCCCAGTGCACGCAGGGCAGGGCCAGTACGCAGGGAGGCCAGACAGGCACCCAATTTATGGGGTGCCAAAACTCAGCATTGAGACAAGTAATTTAGTGTGTGAGATTAAAAAAATAAATTAATGCGAATGATATAAAAACATCAAACTTCAAGACAGGACGGATCAGGGCTACTTACTTTTCCTGTCACCTCAGGATCCAACAGGCGGCAGAGTGCAGGACCCAGCGGCCTCACCGCCCCCAAGACCACGACTTGAGGGCACAGGGGCAAAGCCAGAACCAGAACCTGGATTTCTCTGATGCCAGGTTCTTCGCGGGGCCCTGCACACCTCCAGGCCACGACGGCAGGGAAGCAGTTAGTGCGTTCCGACAGGAGCCCCTAACCCCTGCCCGGGGCCCAGCCCTGTGGGTTAGGGACAGACCCAGGCCCTCCTTCCTTCTCAGGGCCCCAAGGTGACCTCTTGTTGGCAGCTCCCTGGAGACAGACGCCCACGTGCTCCGAGTCGGGGTCTCCCAACGTCGGGAGTCTATGCTTCACCCTGGCTCCCTGCTTTCCCATCTCAGAGACCTCCAAGCTCTTGGGTGGAAGGTGGCAGGTGTGGGGGCATGTCTGCTCCCCGGGGCAGGCGCCCCTTTGCCAGAGCAGGGCCAGGTACACAGTGGACGCCGGCGTCACTGCCCTCAGGGGCGCGAGTTTGGAAGTTCACAAGGGTAGCATCTGAGAGGAGCTGGGGGCCCTAGCAGCCCAGGCCTGAAGACACACCTGTGTCCGTGGGGGACACGGACACGGGGAGAGGGGGGTGGCTGGCTCTGGGGACTGCCAGGCCATGGTTCTGACCTCTGCTCTGGCCAACCAGCAATGGGCCTTGGGCAAGTTATTCAGACCCTTGGCCTCAGCTGCCTACTCTGCAAAGTGGGGCCTGGGCTGTCAGGGAGGACCTGAGGGTGCCGTCTGTGCCCGGGGAGGAGCACCAGCAGAGGAAGCTTTCTTCACACCCCAGGGCTAAGTTCGTGGTTTGCTTGGCGTCCAAAGGGAAAGGCAAGAACGCAGAGCCCTCTCTAATCCTGTGGGCGGCTCCGGCTGGCGTTTAACCATTAAGCAATAGTTTTAACCTCAAAGGCGTGTATTTATCTGAAAATATTCTCGATTCAAGCCGCAGTCTCGGTCACAAGGCAAGGGTTTGGCGGGGGGTGGGGGGACATCATCATTAAAAATGCTGCGTGAAACTCCATCGTCACAGCCGACCTGAACACAGCTCCCTCTGGGGATGCACATTTCTGCCATGAAAGCCGGGTGCTCCTTGTGCCCAGGAGGCTCTGGGCTTGGCCTGGCATGTGAGACACCGGGTGCTGGACTGTGCGTCCCACAGTCTTTGGGGGTGGGGAGAGCGTGAGCAAACCTCACTTCATGGCCACGGAATGTGCTCTCCGAGAACCACAAAAGGGGGGGGGGCTGGGGCCACCACCGGCACCTTCCCAGTCTGGAGGGCTTGGCTGGGCCACAGGTGCCTGCGAAAGGCAGCCTGGCTCTGCAGCCCTACTGTGCGCCCTGCCATCCGCGTGCTTTCTACCCACAGCCTCTCCCGGGCAGAGAGAGAGCAGGGTGCAGCTGCCCCCGTCAGCCAGGCGCCACCCCACGCTGCCAGGAACATGGTGTCAGTCCTTTCAAATGCACCCGCTTCTGTCCAGCGCCAGCCACTACTTCCCCACGTGGAGGTTGCTGTGAACTTTTTCCAGGAGCTGCCCTTTGAGGACCTCCCAGCGGGGTGCTGTAGGTGGGCATGCCACACCCATCTACCCAACTGAGGCTGGTGGAGGTCACTGTCCTGCAGTGCATGGCACAGTGTCGTCGACTCAGCACCACTCTCCAGCCCCTGGCTGCCAAGACATCGCAGACGTCCAGGTGCAACCTTGGCCGCTGAGGCTGCCACCGAAGCAAGCTGGCTCCCGCTGGGCACGCATCAGGAGCAGGACCTCAGCTGGCCCAGGGGCAGCTCTGCCAGACGGTGGCACCTGCCTCCTCCAGGAAGCCCCTGCCCGCTTCCTGAGGACACATGGTACCCACGTCCACACCAGAAGCCCGAGGCTCCCCAGCCAGGTCCAGGGCAGGCGAGGGGCCCGGTGGAGGGCGGAGGGTGCTGTGTCGTCCCCAGGGCGGCCGGAGACAGGCCCGGCCCTGTGCACAGTGTCCAGCGGGCCACCCCCACTCGGGCTGGCGTCACTGCGAGAGCTGTCCGCACCGGCCCGAGGCTGCCAAGGAGCATGGCTTTAATTACAGCTCCTCCGGGCTCTGGTCTGCAGCATCTCCGTCCGCTTGGCGCGAGGCCGGGCGGCGCTGAGTGAGGGGCCGGCGCTCCCGACCGTCCTGCCAGGATGTCGGCCGGTGCCAAGTCCAGGGCGGCCTGGCCAAGGCCGGGCGCGGGCGGGGCGGCGCTGGGCTCCGGCCAGGCCCCCAGGGCAGGCGGGTGCAGTGGTCTCCCTGCGGCCTCCCCCTCCGGCCTCCCTCCTGCCCGCCGCTGGCACAAAATGGCGGAGGGCTGTGGCGGCCATTTTGTGGAGGCCTCGGCGGACAAAGGAAGCCGGCAGCCCGAGGGGGATGCGCCCCGGAGCGGCAGCAACGTCCAGTCCGGAAGCGGACTCCTGCCTGCGCTGAGGCCTGGGGGCCTGGCCAGGGGGACAGGGGCAGGCAGGGCCCTTTCCGGAACCTCCCTCCTGCCCAAGCTCCCGGCCGCCCTGGGGTGCCAAAGGCCCGGGCACCCTCCTCGAGGGGCTCTGGGTGGTGCTGGGACCAGCGCTGCCCAGGGCAGTGGCCCCGCCGCTTTCCCAGTTTCCCACCTTACAGGGCAGTGACTGCCGGGCGGGGGGGACAGCAGGGGCCTCGGCCCCTTCTGGACGGAAGCCCCCACTTTGCCCCAGACCCGCAGAAGGTCGTCCTCGTTGGCCTGAGGGTGGAGCAGCCTCCAGCCAGGCGGCCTGAGAGGCTGACTTGCACTCTCGGGATGGCCCAGCACACGCCACCCCCGTGGTCCAGGTAGCTCCTTCCTGCCCAATGCCAGCGGGCACCAGGAGGACCTGCTGCAGGAGGCTCTGCCACACGCCCCTCGACCTCCTGTAGCTCCGGCCCCACAGGCTGGCCACACCAACACCGGCCGGCTCTTGAAGCGCGTGGCTCCTACCCTATTTGGTGACCATCCGCCCCTCCTCCTGTCCCTCTCTGGGGAGGCCTCTCCTGCCGCCTCTGGACAAGAGGCACAGGCCCTGCTGCCCCAGCAAACACCCGCTGGACCGGAAGCCTCTGCAGAGCAGAGCCTGGCAGACAGCGGGCACACAGTGAGTGCCTGGGTCTTCCTAACTGTGCCCTGCCCGCCACTTCCACACGTCTTTACTAAATCTCATTCTGGGGGCTGAGGGTCGCCAGCCACCATTTCCAACCCGGTGCCGAGCCCCATCCCACCTCACAGACAGGTCGGCTGAGGCCCAGCGGTCACCGTGCACCAGCCCTGGCTGCGAAGGCAGCAGGAGCCCTGAAGGGCACTGGGTCACCTGGGGTACCACCTGGGCCTCGCGCTCTGGTGGGGACAGGCCATCCAGAGCCTGTGTCATGAACCAAGAATGGAATTAGGAGAGAGGCCTCCGGCCTTTTCTGCAGGTGGGAGCTTCCCTGGAGACAGCACGGCATGGAGAGCAGGTGCCACTGTCCCCGTCACTTGTGTAACCACAGTTGTCCTGACAATTCCCCAGGCGTGAACAAACAGCAGTCCTCACCAAGGACCCCTCCCGGGAGCAGCCTCTCCTTGGGAGTCTCCCACAGGGGGCCCACTGGGGAGGAGCACGCCTCACAGCTGCAGGGCCCTGGGTTCAAATCCCCGTTTGCTCAATATTGCTGTAAGCACGCGTACCACATCCTAGGCACACAGTCCTCATCAGAAACGGCGTGTGCAGACACCTTGACTGCCGGGTGGCTCAGTCAGTCCCCATTCAAACCTGATCTCCAGGGAAGGAACAAGCACAGAGAGGGTAAGTTACTTCCCTACAGTTACACAGCCAGGGTAGGCATCATCCCTCTCCCTAGTGTTTTGGGGATAAGGGAACAGACACCCAGAGATGTCTCGGTTTATCCACGATGTCACGCAGCCACTAGGAAGGGCCAGACCCCTCTATACCGGGAGACCCCAGCAAGCCCCACATCTGAGACCTTCCCTTTTCCTTCCTCAATGAGTCGCCAAGGCCTTCGGGCTCCCCAATCCCCCAGGGCTGGCCAGGCTGGGTGGGCACGGTGTTCTTGGAGCAGGGCAGTTCAGACCTGAGCCTGATGGAGCAGGGGTGTCAGGCCACTGGACAGGGTGCGAACCTGCTCTCTCTCTGCCTAGAGTTGGACACGGCTGAGCTTTCGGCTCAGGAATAACTGGGAAACAAGACCTCCAACCAGGGAAATGTCGGAGGCCAAGTGTCCGGCTGAGCCCAGGACAGGACACCCCGGGCAGCAGAGGCAGAAGCCCCAGGGCACCCTTCTAAAGAAGGCCTGAGCTGAAGGCCCTGTCCCCCCCCCCTTCACAGACCCCGCTCCCACCTGTCTCGGGGAGACCTGGCACCCTGGGGAGACCCCACACTCCTTTCTGGCAGGTTGGGGCCAGGCCCTTGCTCTACTGCTGGCCAGCTTGGTGGCCTGAGGCTGACCCCTTGGCCTCCCTGAGCCTCAGCCTCTGCAGGGGAGAGGCACTGAAAGACACCCACCCAGCAGGGCTGTCACGATGAGTGATGGCGTCCGGCTCAGGGCCTGGCACAGTAACAGGAAGTGTTCAACGAAAGTGAACTGAATTGAAAAGTCACTTCCTTCAGGTGACGCTTGCAGGGTAGGCCGTCCTTGCACCCTATCCTCAAAGGGTTTGCTTGTCACATCCCTCCTCATGGTTCAGGGTTAATCTGTCCCACTCAGAGAGCTGCTCAGAGCCAACAGCTAAGCGCTGGACGAAGCCCATGGTTCCGTAGTTTGTCAATATTTTCACTGGGACCAAAAGATCCAAAACAAGGTATTTTTAAGGCCTTAACTTTTTTTCTGTCTGGGTAAACAGAGGGTATCTGGATATTTGGTATTAGAACAAATTCCTGCCCCTCCTTGGCTGTGGGCGCCAGACACCGGTCAGCCTGGGAGCTGGCAGCCGTGGCTTGTCAGTGTGGCTCAGCTGTGGGGTGCCAGGCCCGATGCCCTAAGCCTCAGTTTCCCATGACCCCACATCCGCGCCAACTCCTGAAGGATAGGGCGGCCGCTCCACACAGGAACCCAGAGTGCCGGGGAGGATGGGCCGATGCCCGCAGAGACCAGCTGGCACTGGGTCTTGAGTGGGGCCACGGGGTTCCTGTCTGCCCTGAGTGTGGGTGAGGCCCCAGGGACTGGGAGGAGGCCGAGGGAGCCGCCCCGGCCGAGATCGCCCCCATCCTGGGCCGAGTCTGGAAGCACCACAGATTTCAAGGAGAGCAATTTCAATCAAAACCAAACCCTGCGGAGCGAGTCACTGTGCCCCTAAACCTTCAACATGCCCCCAGCCCAAGCTGGCACCCTGAAGAGCCTCCAATTAACCCAACGACCCTCCCGGGCCAGAGGCAAGGCCGGAGCTGGGTTACTCCTGCCCCCAGCCTCCATTTCTGGATGAACAGAGTAGACATGACAAGCCCACCTTGCTGGTGGCCCTGGGGCTGCATGAGGCTGTGTCACACGAAGGAGGGGTGGCTCTCCCTGCAAACCCTGCATATCATCAGCCACTGTGCATGGCCCCCATCACTGGCCAGGGAGCCTGCCTCCGCTGGGACCACCTCCTCCTGGGGAACACGCCCCCGTGGCCTCCTGCCTGTCAGGGTTTGCGGGTCAGGACCCAAGTATACATTCTGGCGACTCAGCCTGTGTGAGGGACACATCTCTCTAAGGGCCTGGGTTTCATTTGGACTCTGGAGGCCGCCCGTGCCAGGTTAGGGGGATGTCAGTGGGTGCCCAGGAAAGCAGCTGGACCAGCTGGCCTTGGGCAGAGCCCCGCAGGCCCCGTCGGACGCCTGGGGCGGCCGCACCCGCACACCGTCTCCTCAGCCGCAGCCCAGCAGTTTCCTGGTGGCCCCACTCTGTGCTCCTTTCTACCCAGGGCGCCGCCCAGCTTTCACTCAGCCTCTACTCTGTTCTTCCCCTTTCTCCATTATCGCCCCCCTCGACGTCCCCTGGGGACCCCTTTCTCCCCACTGGGGTCCCACCCCACCCTCGGGCACCGGTTGGTGCAGGCCCTGTGTGCAGACACAAAAGCCCCGTGGCAGTGTCTGCAGAGCCTGGACCGCAAGCTGGACCTCTGACCACGCAAGGCCCCGATGGCAGAGGGGTCCTGGGCCCAGGCGCAGCACCTGGGGTCCCTCTCCACACAGACCTGGGAGACGGGCCTGCCCCTGGCCATGGCAACACAGGGGAGGGGGCTGACATCTGTCTGGCCCCACAGACTCCCCAGGAGGCTTGAATCAGCCAAGTGGGCCTGACAGTCTGCTCTGTGGGTGTGGGAGAGCGGGGTTTGGGCAGGGGAGCCTGGGAACTATGGGCCCCCGTCCGGGCCACAAGGCAGCCATGATGGGGACTGGCAGGCCAGGACCTTCTCACCTGCTGAGAGCCCCTGAGCTCTGCTCGACTCTGAGACACCATGAACAGCCTGTGCTGACCCAAACCAGCCCTCGGCCCAGGCCCTCCCACCACGGACACGCCGAGATGGCTGGCTCCTTGCAGCAGGGAGCTGGAAAGGCGGTCCTGACTCTGGCTTCCTGGGGTGAGCCTCGGGCAAACCCCTGGCTGCTTGCAGACCCTGGTCCCTCGGCTGCAGAAAGAGGGGGGCACTGAGCCCACGCAAATGTGCGAGAAGTGCCTGCCCGCGCCTCGGTCCTCCAGAGGCCGTGGCGCCGTGCATGGGTGTGCACAGTGCGTGGTACCGGTGTGTGAGTGCCCCATTTCAGCCATGCCCAGCCTAGGGTGGTACCCGGAAGGAGTGGGTGGGTAGTCCCGACTTTCAACATTCAAAACACTGCACTGACCTGAGGGTGGTGCAGTCATCTAAGCTTCAGGCTTCACCTGGGGAATACGGTGGCCAGGAAGAAGGGGTGACACCTGAAAGGGAAGAGAGATGCTGGTTAAGTCTCAGGAAGGAGCCCTGGTGTGTGGGAGGTGCACGTCCCACATGAGTACTGTCAGCTCTGGCCCACTCTGCCTGTGAGGCCGGGCACAGCTCGGGGGCCACCCAGGGCCTCTCAGGAGACCCTGAGGCCAGGAAGCCACTGGGCCTATGTGACTTTGTGCCCAAAACACTGGGGCTGAAACACCCCTATTTTCTGGGGTCACCCCTCTCCAAAGGGCAGCAGCTGGCAGGTGTGGCTACAAGGATGTGGATTTGGGGGCCAGAGAGATGAAAGTTCAAAGTCAGGCTCGGCAGGCCTGATGGGTGCCTGGAGGCCCTCACTGCCCCTCTCTCAGCCTAGGTTTTTAGGGTTGGGGAGCATCACATGAAACTGTGAGCCGTTCACAATGATGAGAGGAACACAGCTGTGCGGAGGGAGATTCCTTCCTCTCTCCAGCCTCATCAGGGGCGTTGACACATCCCAGAGTATCAGCACCTGGTAGCTCTCTCTCAGCATCAGTGCTGAAGACAGCACTCCCTAAACATCACTTCCTGTGAGGGATATTCTTTCCCTCTTTGCTTTGGCTACTAGGAAGTTCAGAGCTGAATTTACAAGTCACCATGAGCAAGTGGGAGGCTTCTATGTGACACGGCTTCTTCTAGGCCTACCTTGGATTTTCCCTATGCCCCAATTTTCTCAGCTGCTTATTTTTATCCTTCTGCATCACCCATATTGCTCTAAACTGCTACACATATACACATATACATATGTACATATATGTACATTGTTTTTAACGTGGCAGGACATAAACAATACATAACACCTTGGTCCCCTCTCTGCCCCTGTGCTCGGTGAAGGCCATGTGTGTAGGTTTCATCTTTGCAAGTGGTGGGTTAGGACTGACCCCAGGCCAGACCCCCACTTCTTGGCCGGTTTGGGTTTCCCTCTTCTGCTCTTATTGGTGCCCGGGAGGGAGGCAGGAGGTTCAGATGCCCTTTTGCCAATGACCCAACAATCCCAGCGAGGGGCCGTGGCTTCCCCAAGACCACAGAGTGAAGGCCTGAGGAACCAGGAACCTGGGGTTTGATCCAGTCGCTGTGGTGTGGGCACGCCCACGAGCCCTCAGAGCGGGCAGTGGCTGTCCCCTGGCCAAGCATGGGTATCGAGGCACTATTCTAGGGGAAGAGAACCCAGACCTGGAGGCCTCAGAGTGTCACCTCTCCCCACTCGGCCCTCTCCAGCACTGTCCTTGCTGGCCAGGCCACCCACCCAAGGCTGTGAGGTTGACCACAGTAGGCCTAGGATCCTGAGGTGCTGAGGCCCTCCTGGCTGCCTCGGAGATGCTGCCAACAAAAGGCCTGGCTGCTCGGAGCTGAGGCTGCTCACCAGCTTCCATGCCGCATGGGCAGGACCAGCTCTGCCTCGACCCACCCTCTCATCTCAACACCCAGCACACGTCAACCCGACATGACAGATGGATGGAACTGGACCCGCTGAGCTGCAGCCGAGACAGGAAGCCAGGAGATGCCAGGGTGGGACACACACCTGGGCGGTTTTCTATCTTCCAGGGAATTATAAACCCCCTCCCCTTCTTGGGTGCCAACTGTGTCCTGCCCCCTGGGCCCTCTCACTGAAGCCACAGGCATTCCGGGGTTCACTGTGCTTCCCCAAAACTCTATGGGGAAAAATGCCCACCCTAGTCCTGTGGACAGGTAAACTGAGGCTCGGGGTACCGAAGGAGCTTGCTGAGTCATCAAGTGAGATGGCTCACAGGAGCTGTGGGGGGGCTGTGCATGCCTACCGCGTTGCACGGCTGCAGGGGGCAATGGCTCAGAGCTTACTCAGGACTCCAAGCCAATGACCCAGCGTCCAGACCCTCCCTGAGTCCATCTGCTTCCAGGATGTAAGTGAGCATCATCGGGCCATAGGACAGGTGGTGGGACCCAGTAGGAAGAGGGGCACACAGCAGGCCAGGGCATCCTTTGCTCTTTGCCCTCACTCTTGGAACGCCTGATATCTGGGACTTGGAAGGTGCAGACATGACTTTGGGTCCTCCCCGAATGAGCCACAGAGGACACACCCCAGGACCAACTGAGGAAAGGCCCAGGAGCCAGCATTCGGCCCAGGACAGCTCCTAGGCTGGGCCCCCCTGCTCCCGCTGAGCTCCGCGCCCAGGCTCACACCCAGGTGCACAGACGCGCAAAGCAGTAATAGCTCATTGTGATGACATGCTGCATGTCCCCACGAAGGTCCGACGCCACGGCTGGGAATTCTGCTGGGCCTTGGCCAGAACCTCAGATGCCGTGAGGAATCTAGGCCCCGTCCTTTATCAAACCTCTACCCAAGCTGAGCATGAGGAGGGTGACCAGGAGGAGGGCAGACGCCAGGCACCACGTCCCCAGGTGCTGGTCCCTTCCATGCCCTCCTCCCCGCGCCCTATGTGCTCACCCATGTTCCCAAGCATGCCCAGACAAGGGCGTATGTCTCCCATGGACCCCTGAAGCAAGAACTCAGCTGTCCCCGTCTTCTTAGGGATGCAACCATCCCTAGTCCCTGTCACCTAGTCCCCTTAGATGGACAGGCCGAGAGCTGAGAGCCACCCACCAGGCCAAGGAGTCACCCAGTCACCACATTAGCTCACAATTCCTCTCCTCACTGTCTCCAGCCCCCGCCACTCAGTTTCCTGGGACTCGTAAGGCCCTCAGAGACCGGAGGGGACCTGCTGGTGGCTTCCCAAGGATGTGCTTGGACCCCTGGCGCTGACGTGCTGGTCAAGCCTGCAGCAAGCCCCTTGAAGATGGAGCCAGGAACCTAGGAGCCCAAGGCGCCCTGTCTTCTCGCGGCATAGGCTCAGGACCCCTAGTCGCGCAGCTCTGGGCTCTATTCCTTCCTACCTGCCCCTTTCACTCGCTGCCTGGCACCTCTCTAAGCCTCTGTTTCCCCAGCTATAGGACAGGGCCTTGAGCATGTCACTGTCCTGTTTATTGGAAGGGAGCACCCCGAGAAGGGACTGCCCTGAGCTGCACAGCTCTTGCCTGGACGGCCAGGTCACCCTCCCCGCCTCTCCTACCAGTGGGATTGGCCAAATACACCCTCCTTGGGGCCCAGGGGTGCACTGGAGCTGGAGGACACCCCTGGGCCCACCTGCCTAAGGTTCACAAGATGCCCCCACCCCGTGGCCTAGTTAGGAAATCCCACCTGCTTGCTACGCCCTCACTGGCCACACCTGGGCTGACCCAAGAAAGGACCACAGACTGGAGCACAGGGAGCCAACAGAGCACGCACCCACTCTTCCCTCTGGACCGCAAGCACAGCTCAGCTCAGGCTCACAGCGGGGCACCGCCACGGGCAGCACACCGCTCTACCTCCCAACTCTGCGGCTAAGGTCCTGCTCTTTTGCAAATGGCCCTATTCAATGTAACGCTCGCTGATGTGAGAGTCAGAGTACAGGCTCCCAGGGTACGGGAGCTGGGGGAGGTGGGACAGGACAAGGCCACGCACGTTTCAGCAGTGAACAACCAGGAGGCGCTGAGCAGCCCCGCAGGCCACCCCACGCCCGCTCTGGACACATGAAGGGTGTGGAATTTCTATCCTGACGGGTGAATGGAGCTCCAGCTGCAGAGGCAGGTGTGGCTCTCGGGCCTTGGTTCAAACCCCAAGAGACACAGAAGCCACTCGTGGCCACAGCTGGAAAGCTCACTAGGACAGCCGCGAGGGGCCGTTCTGCGGCCAGGCGCCCCTCCGTCAGAGCGGCGTGCGCAGAACGCCTTCCTCCCTCCAGGGCACTCAGCTGCTCCCACGTCCTTTCACCCACTCTCCCAGTGGTGGCCACAGAGAAGCAAGGCCAGGTGACCGCTGGGGTCCCACACAGGGGAGGCCCCATCTGGCACACGGCACCCAGGCAACTTACTCTCTGTTTCCAGTCACTGCGTTCTGAGTTAGACAAACACTGTGTCACTTGCCCTCGGAGCCTAAAACTCTGAGCGTGCGTCACTGCCCCTGTGGGCTGCTGGAACCTCCCAAAGCCGGGTGAGGGGTGGCCAGGGCCCCTGCCTGTCTCAGGATCACTAGTGAACTCCAACTTGTTGTCCCTCTGGGGCACTAGCACCCCCAAGTTCCAGAAGCCACGAGGCAGGTTTGGGTGTGGGGTCTGCCAGACCTCGCTCCTGCCCACTGTATCCCTGCTCCCTAGAACTTTCCTGTGTCCACCTGTAGGGTGGCCCAGGGCTGCTGGGTTCCCATGTCAGCTCTGCCCCGTGACCCTGGACAAGCCCCCTCACCTGTCTGGGCCTCAGTCTCCACACCTGTGACACAGAGACAGTGATGCCACCTCCTCGGATTACGCGAAGATTAGAGACGATGCACGCCATGCCCGTGGGGCTCACTGGATGGCAGCACCCACCGCAGGCACCCCCAGAGCGCTTCGAGGACATGAGAGAACATACTCTGGGCCCTGGTACCTGGAGGAACTCCATCTCAGCCTCTAGTCTTACAACTGACCGACCGTTCTGGGCCTGGGGTTTGGGTGGACACAGCTGAGGGCATGCTTTGGGGCAGGAGGCTCTGAGCTCCCCACAGAACCCCGATGTTGGCCAAGCTGCAGGGCCAGAGCCACAGGCACACAGACCCCAGAAGGCTCAGCCCTGCCTTGTCCACACTTGTCTTCAGCATCAAACATGGCCCCCCTCCAAGGTCAACTGTAGGAGAAATATCCTCCCCGCAAGAGCCAGTGTCGATGAGCCGTGCTCCGAGCACACCCCCGAGTCATGGGGAATGGCCTGGGAAGGACCGAGACTGGCCCTGGGTCATGCCAGGCCGGACACCCAAGGTCGGGAGGGCCCAGGAGTCAGCCAGCAGGCTTGTGGGCGGCCATCTCCTCCGGCCTGAGTTTGCCAGACACACAAACCAGGG